GAAGTCTGTAGTACAACCTTGGCTTAAGAATGCCATTGATACAAAAACATTTCAGGCCTCCTAATCCATGTTTTTGTTTTATGTAGACCATCACAGCAAAACTGTTTCTTTGTGGCTTCATTAGGAATGTTCCCACCATTGATTTCTGGAGCAAAGTTGCATTCCCTGCAAACAATATCCCTGCACGTCTCCTTTCTGCAGCGCTGGAGCCATTCGGATGCTCAACTGTTGTGATTGCAATGGACGATTTATGTGATTTTAAATAGGCAAGAGGATCTACTCTGAATTCGATCCTCAGTTCTGAAAGACAAGTGCTCTTCTGCAAGCTTGTAATACAAAAATACTATTTAAAAGGACTTTGATTTAACACGAACTATTTTTAATGCTCTGGATTTAAAGGTTGGTGTTCCCCTTTTTACTCTCCACCGTTTTTTCAGTGGTGACTATTACAATTAGTAGGCTTGAAATAAAAGTATGCCATGGCTTTTGAAATGCCAAGCTCAGAAACTGCAGCTTGTGGCAGTTGCCAGAAAAATACTGAAGATATAGATAGGTTTAAGCTGACTTGAGAACTCTAGTAACAAGGAGCAACATGTCTCTAAATCTAGAATAGTAACCATTACCAAAATGTACTCCAGGGTTTCTTTTTGACTTTGCCATTGGGTCTGTTTGCAGACAAACATGAGTGTTGTTCTGTCCCCTGCAAGTCATATGCAATCTCTATGCAACACGTGCTCTATGATATGGCTCCCAGCTTTTTAAGGAGTCTCAAGACCTTTTACCTTTTAAGAGTCCATACCTCTGTGGATGTTGAATTATAGACTTCCTCTATCATGGGTTTAAGTGATCACTTTCCAGTAGGCAGAAAAATTGACCTGAATATGAAATACTCAAAGTTGTTAGGCTGTTTGTTTTACTATAATTTTATCTAATGTCCAATTATTAATACCCATTATTATTAATTGCTAATTAATAAGCAATAGAAACTAAAGCCTCCTATACTTCATCTTGAAAATCTTTCATAAAGTTTATTATCCTGACTTCATATTACCTGAGTTTATAAAAACATTGAAAATCTGTGACACCCTGTGAGTGCCTTATCAAGTCTTTATTTAGTGACACTGATGGCTTGTGGTTTTTCAGTATGCTATCTTATAAATTATCATGATGATAGTAAAAATATTTTGTGAAATCCTTATAGTAATTTTTCTAGATAGTCTCTGCCTATGTGAATGTATTTAGTCTCAGCATCAGAAAACAGTCTTAAACGAAATACTGTAGATTTTTAACCATCGCCTGTAGTTGGAATAGCACCCTACTGAGACTATAGCTCTTGGTATCTGCAAGAACAGCTGCAGTGCTGGAAAATTCATAAAGCAGCAGAACGTGGGATCAGGTAATACCTTCAGATCCTCATGCACTATTGTGCTTTATCCCAGCCTCTTACAAATTTAAGCAGTTTTAAAGGGCAGGGTTTTTAGGAACATTCTAGATATGTGCCTTCCACCAGCTACCAAAATAAAAATCTGTTTCGTGTATTTTATAGCTTGTCAGAAAAAATCCATGATTTTTTTTTTTCCAGATCTTTCCACTCTGTATTGATCTTATTATTTGTGAAACACTCTCGTTTAGGTTTGGTTTTTAATATTTTCAGTGTAAATTTTAGTCTAGCAGCCTCAACTGCCTAAAAACTGTTCTAAATCTATTTTGCGCTTCTTTCCCAAGAGAAAAAAATAGAAATATTTGAAATAAGCTCTATAAATTCTAGTATGTACATATGTATTCACACACATATGTGCTGCCTGTTATTAAATGTTTAACCTACGTGTGACTGTTCCTAAAAAGCAGTATCCCTGCAGACTGCCATGGATGCATACATGGCCTGCATTGTCCAGAGAGGTCAACAGCGGGAGTGATGATATCGTGGTTGGAGGAGGTGGGTGCCTCTCTAGAGCAGCATGCAGAGAAGTGGCCACCTCTGTGGGACAGCACAAGGGCAGTGTGCTCCTGAGTGGGAAGAAACCAACACAAAAAAAGAAGCTGTAAACCTGCGACAAAAAAAGTGCATGACCAAGGGCAGCAGAAGGGCCTCGGGAGTCTGAATTAAGCACCCTCTTGTTCAGGCAAGCACAAGAAGGAGAAGACTATTTCTTTTCCATTAAAGATAATCTATAGCAGTTTTTCCTGAGCTGGACAGACTGGTCATCGCCCTTTTTGCTTTTAACTATCTTATTACAAGCTATAAGCTACTCTGAAGAGAGCTAACAAGCCTCTCTCTTGTAAAAGGTGGGATTCCTGAAAGGGAAATCCAGAACCATGGTTTCTGTTGTAAGTGCTCTTTATACACCTTATTCATGGCTTTTAATTAATAAAGAATCCACCAAAACTCATGGGAGCAAGATCCAGAAAAAAAGGTTTCCATTTTTTAGCTAAGTTCCCATCCCACTCTGCTGAAGAGTTAGATCATGCCTACATGCAGGTTCCTGGCCCCTACCATTTATACTGGCCAAAGTAGGCTGTTATGCTTAGACAGCACAGCAAATTGTTTTTCAAAAATGGAAAAACACACTGATTTTTAGATTTCCTTGGGAGGTTAGGTGGTGTAGAAGTAATCTGAATCGTTCTCTGACACTTGTGAGCAGCAGCCTTCTAAGTCGAGTCTTAGGCAGGAATTGGGGCATCTGAACTACTGCTTTATCCCAGACCAGGAGTGCATTTTTGAAGTGACTCTCCCACTCACCCCCACTTACCGCACTTTGGCAGAGCAGTCCTGGAGCGCACGAACCAGGTTCCTTCCCGGTGTCGCAAACCTGGATTACGTGCTCCAGGACCACAGGTAAGGCTCTGCAACGGCTCCTGGGCACTCAGGCCTTGAGGACCTAGTGTAAATCAGAGTTCAAAGAAATAACAGCACTTTACATAATTGTGCAATGGCTTTTAGAAAGGTAGAGTGTGAATCAAATGTTCTCTGAAATGTAACAAGATTTCAAAAATAAATTAGTCGCTAGAGGGAGCCTCTTAATCATCATATCCTACTATCAAACCACTACTAACTTGGGCCTTCAACTCTTTAAGATGTTGAAGTGCTTCGTCAGGGTCAGTGAGTGCTACTTTTCCAGTAGTCAGTTTAAAGAAAATGAGGGTGAAAGACAAGATTATGCAAGGCTTCTGCAAAATTCCACATTCATTCCACATTCTGAACAAATACAGACTTCCTAAAGATTTCCCCACAGAAAAACAGGTAGAGCCAGTTAGTGCAGGGGCTGGGAACAAAATTAGCTTTGCCTACTAGACCTTTTAAAAATGCTGTCTCTACATAGCATCAGTGAGAGGGCATTCACCTTCCCTTCCTTCAAAGATCAAACACCAAAATAAGCACAAGTTGTCACTGTGAGAGGAAAGTCTTCAGATCACAGGCACTACCCTCCCGCCTTTATCTTCATTACACCATAGCTGTGCCTGGACGGTAATTCCCAGCAGCCAGATTTCAACGAGTGCTACTTACAGCGCTGATCTGGTCTAGCTCTCTCTGTGGTAGAAGGCAGCTACGTACAAAACAACGAAGACGTGCTCCTGCAGTGTAACTGCAGACGTGCATTCAATTTTCTGCTATATCTAAATTTAGTAAATGACATAGCAGTTATGGTTTGTGGTTCTCCATTACAAATACTACAGAATTTGCAAGAAGTCCTGGAAAAACATAAGGAGAATAGGAGAGCTGTGGAGGAGACCCCAGCTGCAAGAGGGGCGCTCCCAGTCAGCAGGGCCCGGCTGGGATTGATTGCAATCTGGACAGAAAAACCCAGCACCTCAGAAGGAGCTTTCTTTTTAGAAAATATACAGCAGCAGAGGGCATCAGACAACAAGAAATCCTACCTACATTAATGAATCTTGAAGCGCTAAAGGCAGAGTGAAGGGGAATGGGAACTGGAAAGTACAGATTGAGATGCTATAACACGGGTGGGGAGAAGGAAGCAGGCACTGAGAGAAGGAAAACCAGACACATCACTTCTCCTGTGTGTGTTGGCTGTAACCACTCCAGCATGGAAACGTTGAGGTGGGAGAGAGCAGGGGAGGGATCACCTATGGTGCTGTAACTAGCCTCAGAGGTGCTCCACTAGCAAACCAACCTGAGCACTGCAATTGGTGATGAATCACCAACTGATAACGTCTCCCTTCTCTTTTACGATATGAAAACACAGCAAATTCTGACAGTAAAGCAAGATTGCTCTTTGGTAGTATCTCATGCTCTCCCAAAACTCTCAGTACAGCAGGACTCAAACAAGAAAAATCAAGAAAGCGAGCATTAGCCAGCATGTAACCATAATTTGAGTGATGACTAGGAAACACGCAGCACTCAGAAGTGAAGCCAAGCGATTCATTTTCTGCAAAAGCAAATTCAGGTCTCTTGCTGGCATTTCCTCCCCACACCCTAAATCTGCTTCTCACTGCGTGTGCAGAGGTGAACTTGTCATTGCTGGAGGCACTCAGGGCTGCTATAAAGCGAAGATATTTGCTCAATTTCTATTTCTACAGACAAAGAATTGCTGCTTCGTAAGTACAAAATTTTTTTGTTTTCCTTGGTGGAAATGAGGAGAGGTTTATGGGGAACTGCTATTTATAGTTCCTTTCATTGGAATGTCTCAGACTTGAAGGAGGTCCTTCCCTTCCCTTGAGAAACCGCTGCTTGGGCAGAAAGCATTTTAGCTACATTGCTGGTGTTCCCCAGCCCGACCCTCACACGTCTATGAATGTCATCGTTGTGCAAACGGCAGTGGGACGTGCAGCTTAAGGGACGCTGGGGTAAGTTAGACCATCCAGCTGCTTGCAAGCTCCGGTATAACACAGCTTTCCTGTGGCAAAGTGCGCATGAGCAGCTAGGGCAGATTTAAGGACTGCCTTCAGAAACAGATGTTAGATGCTGTGCTGTAGCAGCAGCCGTTGCGTTGAAAAATTTTTAATGTGTTTAAGTCAACTGAAAATAAGCTCATGCTCCAGTGTGTCAGCTGCCTGCTTTGAGCGTAACTTGACCAGGTACCGTACCCTTACTCTGTTGGGAAACGGACAGGAAAATTTTAATGGGCATTTGTAAGGTATTTTTTTGCTTCTGTAGATAAAAATATCTCGAGGAAGTTTTTAAAAGGCATTTCCCTTTGCAGTAACATTATTCTCATACATGTCTGCATGCAAAGTGAGAGCAGTCAGCTGCAGGCAACTTGTTATCATGAGTCTGGCTTTTATTGTACATATATCAAGGCTACAAAACAGGAATTTTTAGAAGATATTTTCACAGGCTGAACAGTTCCAATCTGAATGGAATTACCTGCAAGACCTTTCATTGAGTGTTGCCAAACTGAAGCCACAAATGGGTACTGTTTTTGTGAAGTGTGTATCTGAGTGTACCTAGAATTATGAATATTTTCTCTTATGCAACGTGGCTTGAATTGGGATTTCAGTATCTTGTGAGTATTTTGATAGAAAAGTAAAAACAGATTACAAAAGTTCAATCAGTAATGGAAAACAGTTAGTAAAATACGAAATATATGCAAGCTATACCTCCCTGGGTTATTCAAATGGATGAAGAAAGGGATAAAATCTAAATTACTTTGGGCGGGTTAAATAATGGGAGAGGGAGGAGTTTTGCTTTAAGCCGAATTCAATTCAGATAGCAAAGCGGAGAGTTTGCTTGCAGCACAGCTTAAGTGCCACTTTGGCAAAAGTGGTCCCAAAGAGGTCCCCAAAAAGGCATCCTCCCAACTGCTGGTGGGTGAATCGGGCGGGCACTTGCTGCTGCTGCCCCAGCTGCCGGGGGCTGAGCAAGGAGCTGGACTGCAGCGCGGGGACCTGGGGCCCCTCTGGCTTCTTAGAAAGGGGAGGAACAGGGCAAGCTGCTTTCCCTGTCCCTCTCGTTCCCAGCCGGGCTGCTAAAGCTGCTCTGATCCGACTCCCGTCGCCTCTCACTAAGGAAACGGCTTGACAGGGGTAACATCAGTCAGTGCGGTAACTGTTTTCTGTGTATTACCTGCTATGTTACAGGCAGCTTCTGAGGAAACTCAGCCTTGAGCTCCAGCCTGTGCTTTGAATCAGTGTATCATCTCTACTGCGAAGTACAGGCAGTTAGTGACAACCAATTACACAATTAAATTGGAGTATTTCCAACTCCCATTCAACTGTTTTGCGGGCACATAGTATGTACGTGTAAAAGACGGCTGAGGTGTCCTCCAGTATCTTTCCTACTTAGGATGCAGCAAAGGCGCAAATCCAACTGCAGGAAACTAAGTCTGAGTGTCTGTAGAGAGTGATGCTGCATCAGCATTGCTGCTTGTAAACAAGTGTTTAGAGCTGTTTGGATGCCGATTTCCTAAGCATAGAAATTTAAATTTTCCCATTGAGGCCTGTAGTGTTGATGAATAAAATGTAAGAACTATGGATATTAACTAAGCTGCTAAATATTGTCATTTCTGGAAAGCAAAATGTGAAACCAACCAAATTTATAAAATTGAGATACTTGGGATAGTTCAACCAGACGTGGGATAAATTTGAAAGGAGTCTTTCTTTGAAGCCCTTACTTCAAAGCCTTTAAACAGTTTGTCTTGTCCTGGCAGTGAAAGAGGAAGCCCCAGAGGAACCTTTGCAGAAAGCTGTGCAGAGAGGGGGAAAAGAGCATCACACCCTGAAATCTGACACATACAAAGAAGGAAAAGGCTCAGCTTAGAGTCAAACAATAGGAGGTCACAAATTCAGTGTCTTCTAAGGAAATGTCATCATTGGAAGAGGATGACTAGAATTTCTACAGCTAAAGATCTCTCTTACAAGCCTGAAAGGAAATTTGGCACACTATGTGAAGAAACAGCAGGCTGCTACTCTCTCTGTGATTACAGAAAAATAGATTATATTGAGGACTGTATTTTAAAAAGCTCTTCTCTTCCTTTCTGAACAGTAAGTATTTTTCACACAGCTGAGTCGTGTAACAAAAGAGAATTATTTTGCTATTTTAAGGTAAACTTCTCTACACAAAAAGAAAAATTCCTCTAAGAAGTGAAGTGCTAGCAATAAAAATAACATTAATGCCTTTACTCTTCTTCATTTAGGGTCTGATCTGAGGTGCACTGAAGTAAATAAAACAGAGAGAACGTTGATAGGCTTTGATTAAGTTTTTAATCTATTTTTATTGCAGTGACTATTAGGAAGATGTAAACATGACAAGGCTCTCTCTCTTGGTTTTGCAGGATCTGAACACTCCAAATGCAGAAATGATTTGGCAACTAACATCTTACTGGTAAGAAAAAAGTTCATTAATTATTGTTATATCGTACTTAGATCTAAAGTGAGCAAAGTTTAATAATGACATAATACTGTATTATAAAAGAGTAGGGTTGTTTATCTGTATAGTATACTCACAATGTGATTTTTTTGTTTGTTTCTTTGTTTTTCTTGTTCTTAACTTTTTCACAACACAAAGGTCCCAGTCTGGGTGAGAAAGACATCAGAGGAAGTTGATCACATTCTCGGTTTCCCAGACCAACTTCTAAAACACATCCCAAGCCACTAAAGTAAAATAACTTGCACGTCATCTGTGACATGTAAATTGCCAAGTCAGACTGCTCATAGGAAGTTTAGAAACAATCAGAAAAGGAGATTTTAAAGTTATGGTCCTGACATTTTCCTTTTCGTGACAGCTGTTTGGGTCAATGATCAAAATTTAACACACCCTCTACATCTGGGCAGAGAGTGGTCTGGTCTGCAGCCAGGCTCACGTGGGAGGGTCTTCAGCCACTTGCAGTAGGAGTGAGGAATGGCCAGGTCATTGGCTTCTTTCCTTCTTCTGTGTTCCAGGACATCCCTGGTCGCACCCCTGATTCTTGGTCTGCTTCTGCAGCCACCGCTGACACAGCTTTCCATCGTCACACAGCCAAACATTGTCCTGTTGATGGCTGATGACCTCGGCATAGGGGACGTAGGTTGCTATGGGAATGATACTATCAGGTAAGAAAACTGAGCATAACAGTGAACAGAGCCGGTGTGTTATTTATGTAAAAGACTGCAATCCTTTGCCCATCATCAGCTGTTCCAGCTCTTTTCAAGTTTATTTCCTGGAGAAATGGGAGGATTTCCCATGGGTGCCATTAACAGTAAATGTAAAGCACTACCAGGATTATCTCACAGCCTAGAGGGCATTCCCCGGGCCAGCTCTGCTATCCCGAGCTACTTTACTGTGGGAATTTGTCAGCTGTTCTTGTGTATTCCTTAATTGCCTGACATTGAGAAATGCTAAGCTTTTACACATACCTGAAGACAGAAACGTTGTCCCGTCTTTCAACATATAAGGCCTCATTATTTCACTTGACTCTGTTTTGCCGTTCTTTCCCAGTCTCACGTCAAAATACAGTCTAAATCGCTTCAGTGAGCTATGTTGCTAGGAAATACTTCTCTTTTCAGACCCAAGGACATAGAATTTGCCTTCTCTTTGAAAATTGTGCCACTGTATTGCTTGCTGGCTTCCTACCAGCTTGTCACTTCTTTGAACAAAACCAAATTTGGTATGATCACTGCCCTCATCCAGCAAAGTTCTCAGAACCTGATCGGCACCGGCCAGCAAGTTTCTGATAGCTGATGATCATAGGTAGCTGATGGCGCCCTGCATGGCCAGGCCTCCCCTTCAGCATAGCATCATCCCCAAGGCATGGGTTTTCTTTTCAAGAGCAGTGGGGTACATTTCTGCAAGGCCCTTCACAGGACTTGGGAAACAAGAAGGAATGATTGGCTTGAAATTTATCCAGATAGCCATAGGTAATGAAGAAAGAAAAAAAAAAAAGTATTTCCCCATCACTTGAGAAAATTACAATAAAATAAAATAAAAAAAAAATTTCCTGGCCATCTTCAAATAGAAGAAACTTCCCAAAATAAAGATAAATATATTATTCCACATCCCCATTCCCTTGAAGACCCTCTGAATGATATCTGACAGTGCGGGTTGCATTTTTAGGACCCCGAACATTGATCGCCTGGCAAAGGAAGGAGTGAAACTGACCCAACACATCGCTGCGGCTCCACTTTGCACCCCCAGCAGAGCAGCTTTCCTTACTGGCAGATATCCCCTCCGATCAGGTTTGCCTTGCAAAACCAAGCAGCCTTTAAACATTACTTTATTGCTGAAGGGAAAAATGTCATACAATGGGCACAAAAGAAATGAGGGTGTGCAAGTAGAAGAGGTGCCACAGACATGTCATCCCTCACTGAGGCACACAAAGACACACCAGCTATGTCTAGCACCTTTGAGGTGGCATCTACAATGAACCCACCTGGGGCAGAGAAGAACCAGCTCTGCAGAGCAGCTTGCTCCCCCCCCCGGCTCGCAACTTCAGTTGCATTTTGGTGCTCTATTGCACAGATTGAAGCCAGAAAGGAGTTAGTACAAATTGTTACATTCAAAAAAGTCATTACATAGAACCTGAACAATAATAACACATTTCTAAAGCACTAGTTACGTTAATTTCTGCCATGGGTGACTCCTCGTCAGATATCAGAAACAGCTCAGCCCTGCAGGGAGCAGAGTAGATCTATGCAGATGTGTGTCCATTCCCTCCAGTCAAGGTGCAAAACGAGTCGTTTACAGGAAAGCTTTGTTACCTGTGTGTCAGAATTCATCCGCCCTATGAAATAACAGTTTGACAGCTATATTATTTTTCCCCGTTCTGTTTTTGAAGAAAAAATACTATCCTGTCAAACTGCATCACTGAGATGAAGAGGTATGAAAAACAAATAGCTCTATATATTTCTAACAGCAACCCTCTAACACTTGTTCTATTGCAAATGATCTTCAGTGCCTTCATTCCTGAGGCATTTTGAAGCTGAAATGTCATCCTACTTTTATCATGGCAGCTCTCACTGAGATAGATAGCTTGAAAATGCACATGAGCTTGTACAGACTCTCTCCCACTATAACAACAGGGCCAGAAACATTCAACGCTTCCATGACAGATTGTACTTCACATAACATTGTATGACGGGGTTATGCCAGTTTATAATGCTAAATAACAGGGTGTAAACCTGCAGGTGAGGAGAAGATTGCGGTGCTAGATAGCTACTCTGCGGGTTTCAGAAGTCAGATACCAGCCCTGCCACTGTGCAGGGAAATCCTGAGTTCCCAGGCAGCCTTATGCAAGCTGGAGTTTGAGGCTGACAGAGGGCTGAAGTCTCCCTACCCTCCTCCTTGCCCTCACAGTCACAGTAAGTAAGTGCACTTCATACAGCCTGGATGCCACTGTGACATATAGAAGCTCCTATACAACTGTGCCATTCTAAATAAAATAAAATAAAATAAAATAATAAAATGTCTCATTATGAGATACAAAGAAGAATAGGTATTATACAATGGAGAGACTTAACTCTTTCTTATTCTGGTCCAGTGTCCTAGATTAATTTCCCCAAACAAACAGCATTAGGATAAACATTTAACAATGAAACCAGGAAACAATGAAGTGTGTTTGATAAAAGTACTCTACCAGTTATACTTACTAAGATTGTTTATTATTGCATTTTGTAGGGATGGACGCTATAAACAATTACCGCGTTATTTTTTGGAATGGCGGCTCAGGAGGGCTTCCTCCGAACGAAACCACTTTTGCCAAAATACTGCAGCAGCAAGGTTACAGCACAGGACTGATAGGTATGGGGATACTCCCAAAGATGGCCTAGAATGTGTTTCACCTGCACATCTCACTCAAACCACTTGTTTTAGTTAGCAGCTGCTCATACCTCAGTTGTAATATTTTTATTTCCTGATTTAAGACTATCTGGTAAGAAGAAATCCTGACCAAAAAGAATCTCTCTTAAAAGAACGAGCATCTGATAAAGAGAATAATCTTTACTGTTGACCTGTTTTCAAGCACAGCTGTGGTTGTTAAAATATATAATGGAAAATATGTTAATATTTCTTGAATACTATTCTACCAGGTATATGACAATTTTTCCAATGCTACTTCATAAAAAACAAAAACATGAGTGCCATTTAAATATGCATGCCGATGCTTTACACAGCCCAGAGCAGATTCACAACAAAAGGGAACAGCTGCTACTTGAAACAATAGAGCCAGTTCATAATATTACAGGATTCGGCCTTTCAAAAACAGAAACAAAGCGATTCTTTTTTCTTTAATTACAGCTTGCCACTGTAGTTCACCAAGATTTCAATACAGCCCACAAAACATTGCCTCCTTCAGCTTTAATAAGAATTCCATTTTACTTTATATTTTACAGGAGTTTGTTGTTTGTTTTTTTTTTTTAATACAGTTGTAACTTTTGGTCATGATCCAGCTGCACATAATTATTTATCTTTGGTATGTCACATAGTTCCACAGACTGATAAAACACAAACGTTCCTGAGCTAAATTTTCAGCTATTTGTGCTACCTTATCTGAGCATCTAAATGTCAATATCCAAAATCTATGTCTGACACATAAAAAAATCGGCTGCACAAATAAACTGAATTTATTAATAAAAGTGTCTGCAGGAATGGATTTGTATTCATTCAGCAGAATAAATCTAAACCATACAGGACAATACTAAAGAAAGCTTTCCAAGCATTTTAAGTTCTATGTTATTGAATCTTCTTCTCCTGTTATTTTTGTAGTCAGATTATTTTAGTTCTTTTAATCAGCTCATAAAAAGCCCACATCTATTAGCCATGTGCTTCAGCTTAGCTTCAGCGTGTAATCACTAACAAAACAATCAGATTTGTCTCCACTTTGCCAAAGGAATTGTCCTGCAATTGTGCCAGGATTCTGCTGCACCCCTCCTAGAAGCTAGCTAGCAAAATAAGCTGGCATTTTACCTGTGGGCATCTTAGCTAAAATCACACCATAGACACCAAGAGCATCACTTAGTTTAACTGGATTGACAGATTCTGATTAATTGCACCTTAGGGGATGATGGAAAGCACTGGTGATAAGTGACACAAAAAACCCATAAGAAGAACTTTACATTGAAGTCACGAAGCAGGAAATCTTACAAAACACCTACCCACATCACCACAGCTGAATAAGCACTAAATAGTCTCACCAGAATGGTTTGTAATTGTTTTGCTCTCAGCACAACCAGTTTAATTGCAGAGTTAAATCCTATTAATAACCTGCAGCTTGATGTGATAATGAGACTTTTTGTTGGGAAACGCTTTGCAGATTCTTTGTAGACAGAAAGCCAATGTTGTATAACATATGCCCTCAAAGATTAATTTATCTTAATTATACACTCAGTTTATCTTCTGGAGATTTGAGTCTTTTGTAGCATGTCAGAAGCCTTTATCGACCTCAGCTGGAGATTTAGGTGTTGGAGTGCATCTGAAGTCCAAAGATACTTCAGCTGCACCGGTATTTATGACCAATGCATCTATGTATTGATTACAAACCTGTTTCATTGTATCACTGACTCTAAATATGTCAAGAGGTAAACCAAGTAGAGATTTTAGCTGGAAGCAACTCATCCACCTAGAATAGAACTTTCACTCTTTCTTTATATTTATATCCAAAAAGCAGCATTTTTTTTCCTCTGAAGTAGTTTTTTCTGCTTCCTATCGTAATGGACAGCAATTCTATTGAAACTTGCTCAGGGTTGACTGCTAGTAATGTATTGGTAACATAGTGAACCATTTTTTTAGGATAATATCCTTCTGTAAGTACACAGTTCTTTACTCCACGACAAGAATTAGTTGCAAACTGGTTTTCAAGTAAAATTGTAAAAGTTCATTTTGATCTATAGATCTGGTATCCAAGGCCTGCATTACATCAGAGATCATAAAACGCAACTAAACCTCATCTCTCTCATGAGAGGTAGATTTTGGTCGCTTGATTCAGATATTCACAAACTTCAGTGGTTAAGCCAAATGAGCCAACTTGTTATGTCTCTGTGTAAGTGCCTAACCAGTCTGTTTGAATAGACTGGAGGGGAAGCAAAAGCATGGTTTTGATGTGCCGTTCATCATAATAGTGGACATATGTTCGTAATAAAGAACAACTTGTATTGGAAAGGGTCAGGAGATGTTCCTTTTGATACATGAAGACTTCAGACTTTAAAAGAAGGCAGCTTTGACTTTTTAAATTTGATTAAATACAAATAAATGGCAAAAACACTTATAAAACAAGGCCTTTTATTCTCATCCAGTATACAGAGATATTATTATCAGCAAATTTACTTACATATGTACAGCTTCATGTGAAATCCTGATCTCCTGAGCTCAAGTTCTTCTGGATCTGGTGGTTTGTCTGGCAAACCCACTGCTCAGCTGCCAGTTACTTGACTACGCTATCCATAGCTTCCCTTATCATTCTGGCACCAACATGTCGCCAAGTGTTGCCATAGTCCTGACATCAAGCCATTCAAAACTTTCCACAAACAAGTCTACATAGCATCTTGAAGGTAAAGAGACAACAGAACAATATTTTTTGCCCTGTGCTTACAAAAGGACTTCTTCCTCCTATTTCATACCCAACAGGTCTCCAGGAAGGCCGTGCATTTTTGCTCAGTTCTGAAAAGCTGAATTATTCTTCTCGGTTTCTAGTTCCCTTTATAGTCCAGTTTTTTACATTTTGATCAAAGCTACAAGGCATGAATATGTATACAGAGCACCAGTAACTCTGTGGGAAATTTATAATTTGTAGAGGCTTACTTTCATCAGTCGTAAGATATATCCCATTATATCACTATATACTCCGTTTATATGCAGGATGAAGAAGTTATCACAAGTAGAAAAAAAACAACCATTTTTTGAGAAATGTTTTGTATGAGGAAAAGCCCGTTTTTAAATATTATCTCTTTCCATTTTAATAGTCTGTATTTTCAGGGAAGTGGCATCAAGGTGTTAACTGTGAATTCCGCAACGACCATTGTCATCACCCTTTAAACCACGGGTTTGACTATTTTTATGGGATGCCTTTTACGCTAATAAGTGACTGCCAACCAACGGAAACACCAGAGATGGACAGAGTCTTTAGAAGGAAACTCTGGGTTTACACTCAGATGATTGGCCTCGTTACACTCACCGCTGCCTTAGGAAGACTGACTGGCTTGATTTCAGTCCGCTGGAAAACTCTGACCTGCCTTGCTGGGTTTAGTCTCCTGTTCTTCATATCCTGGTTCTCAAGTTATGGGTTTGTACGATACTGGAACTGCATTATGATGAGAAACCACGAAGTTACTGAGCAGCCAATGGTGACAGACAGGACTACGTCCCTTATCTTGAGAGAGTCCATTTCCTTTATTGAAAGGTAAAGTGTGTTTCCTTTGATCACATTTCTTCTGGTTCTTGCATGTCTTGCAACTTTCAAACGGCCATGTGAAGTCTTCATAGTTTTTATAATATTATATACATGCTTATTAATTATTAATAATATTAATAATGATACATATAATTAAACAAAAAAATTAGCTGCTGCTTAAGGATGCCTGTTATTCCTAGCTTCACTAAATCTCATAATGTTTCCAAATTTCCATGGGTTGGATTGAATATTTCTAGCCTATTTTGAGGAAATACGTGTTTCTATCAATGAGACCAACATTGCAGCTTTAAGGGATAGCAGCTGATGGTAGAAATGCATGTGTGGGCTGGGGAAGGAGAAGTAGAGCTGTGAGGTAGCCTTATCGTATGGACTGACATTTGGGCAACAGCTGGCAGGAGACGAACCTGCTGCCTTTGTTTCAGTAGCACTGTGGTGGTTTGCAATAGCAGAGAGTGGAGCTTCAATCTGGAACTTTTCTATCTATGATTCAGGGAAAAAAGATGGTCATTTTATATAAGCCAAACATTATTTTATCAGACAGATCCTAATCACTGGGTTTTAATACCTAACGAAGGAAGATGTTTCTGAAATGATTGTTGAAATATGTATATACGCAAATCACAATACCATTTTCCATCACGACTGACCTCTGTATGTACTGAGAACCTTCCTCCCTAATAACAAAGTGTTGATTTCTGTTTTTTAGAAATAAGCACAAGCCATTCCTCCTCTTTCTTTCCTTTTTACACTCCCACACCCCTCTCCTCACCACAGAGAAGTTTCTTGGGAGGAGCAGCCATGGTTTATATGGAGACAATGTAGAGGAGATGGACTGGATGGTGGGTAAGTCACCGTAGCAAATAACAATGTCTCCAACTACCTAATACCTAGGTCTGTATATATAATAAAAATGCAGTTGTTATTAAAAGAACAAGGAACAGAATTAAAAACAAGAACAAAAAATGTCCTAAGCTTTTCATGAACATCTGTCAATCTTGGATAAGCACTGTTGGCTTATAGAATCATAGAATCATTAAGGT